GGTCCAGGAAGAAAATATTGATCTCTCCATTCCAGGTACGTCCGGTCCATAACATCAACCCGCGCCTTGGCGTCTGTGGTGAAGATGATGTCCTAGATCGTAGCGACGTCGCCGGAGATGCTCGATGTTGGAGTTCTTCCAAATCGAGTGTACTGGTCTCCAGGTAGCTATCCATGGGTGACTCCATACTAGAAGTTTCGCAGCTGTTTGGAGGTGACATGAATTCCAAAGGTCTTCTCCAGTCAGGCTGCGACTGGAGATGACTTCATATTTTGGTGTACATGAAGGTGATGGGCGAGAGCCAGCTCCTGCTTATCGAGGAACATCTTGGGTATCTTCCGCCCTGGTACTCGTATCCACGTCCTCTGTCTGGGCAGCGAAAACTTTGCTGATATGTGACTCGGTCGAAGTGACTTTTTTGGCCCCCCTGTATATACCATTTTCACTTTAAATTCACCCTTTTCAAACCAAATTCACCCCTTTTCAAACCAAATTCACCATCACTTTCCAAATCAAATTAACCACACTTATTAGGCCGGGCAACTCATCAACCAGATCACGCAGACACCACTGCGAGCCCCGCCCCTTGACCACGCCCACTTGCTTTTTGCGGAATTTTGATATTTTTTCAAAATTTTTGCATTTTGGACTGCTACGTGAAGCCCCGCCCACTGTGAGAGGCTCCGCCCACTTTGAAGAAGCCCCGCCCACTTTTCAAAAATGGTGCAAATCGGCAGTATAGGGTCTTGGCTTTCATGCTAGGGTCTCGTTCGTCACTCGGAACAAGAAAATCAGGCAAAGTTTGTTCCGAATGATCAGCAATACCCTAGCATGCCAGCCGAGACTCTATACTGCCGATTTGCACCATTTTTGAAAAGTGGGCGGGGCTTCTTCAAAGTGGGCGGAGCCTCTCACAGTGGGCGGGGCTTCACGCAGCAGCCCTAAAATGCAAAAATTTTGAAAAATATCAAAATTCCGCGAAAAGCAAGTGGGCGTGGTCAAGGAGCGGAGCTTAGATTGCCAAACTCTAGAGAATGGGCGGAGTCGGCCATGTGTCAATGCCCAGTCGTTTTCAGTCAAAGTGTTTGTGGGAAACAGCAAAAGATAAGAAAAGTCACATAAGCAGAAGTTATGAAACAAGATTTGAAAATCTATGTCCGCGCTGACAAGTAGGCGTGGCCGTCGGGGCGGGGCTCGCAGTGGTGTCTGATCTGGTTGATGAGTTGCCCGGCCTAATAAGTGTGGTTAATTTGATTTGGAAAGTGATGGTGAATTTGATTTGAAAAGGGGTGAATTTGGTTTGAAAAGGGGTGAATTTGGTTTGAAAAGGGGTGAATTTGGTTTGAAAAAGGGTGAATTTAAAGTGGAAATGGTATATTTCCTCACCCACTATATATATAATTTGCTTCGTTTGTTTGTTTGTTTGTTTGTTTGTTTGTCCGGAAATTCGGTTCTACCAGAAGAACAACTTGGAGAGGTGGGGTCAAGGTCGGGATGGGTAGGGCATGTGACAAGATGTAAAGAGCAACCGTAACCCATGGTAAGCCCCGCCCACAGTGGGCGGGGCATGTGTCGAAATTAAAGAG